TGAAAAATGCAGGTTGGTTTATCCATTTTTCATGCTATTTTGGTTAAAATTTGAATCCTGAATTTTATCCATGGATGGGCTTATTTGCAAGTATACATACTGTAGTATACTGTATACTTTTCTCAAACCATATTCAAATATGTCACACACAGGCAGTCTGTTCCTGCAATAGTGTGCTCCCACTGCAAGATATTACACACACACACACACACACACACACACACACACAGCAAAACATCAAGTACCCATTCAACAACTGTGTCCACTATACTCATAAAGAATGTGCATTTAAATCCTACTGTGGAATGGAAAATCTGATGTTCTGGCCCTATTAGTTTAAGTTAAACATAGCAGACATGGAACGGTGACTAAAATGATAAATAGCAAGAATAATGTGATATTTCAAGGTAGCAGAATAGCAGAGTTAGAAGGAAGCTTGGAAGTCTTTTAGTCAATTCCCTGCTCAAGCAGAAGACCTTACACCATTTCAGACAAATCTCTTCTTAAAGATCCAGGCATTGACTTCTGTCTGCCTTGAGGCAATTCTTCCCAACTTCTTCCATCCCACAGTGCTTCCTTAATTAACACTGCCTCCCAAATCACCCTACATACAATCCATTTTACTCCATTGCTATTGTTTAATTCTTCAGTTTGTTGAAGGGAAAAGATAAGTAGTGCCTTATATTATGAGCCATTTCCTAATCCTTTTCAGGCCACCTGAGCCAGAACAGATTATGGAACTAACCCAAATGAGGAGATGAGGAGCCAGCAGTAGGAATGAATATAATGCAAGATAGAAAGGGCTGGATGTCCTTTGATATTAATATTGTTTGTTGTATTATCTCTCTGACTGGAACTTTGGAATGTTTGAGACAACAGTCAAAAGATGCAACACTAGTGATGAAGATGGAATAAAATTTCACTGACACCTGGAAACATGAAATACAAAGGTGCCTATATGTAATGTTTCCTATAAAATATGGAGAGTAGATTTCCCTTCCCTTCTTCTCTCTCATACAATGTTACTGTTTGGTGGCCTAGTATTGCCAGAATATTCTCTGAATTTCTCTTTTATGATTTTTCCTTCCCTGTAGGACTTGGCTCCATTTCTGCAAGGACCACTGCACCTGTTCTTCCAAAGGAAAATGCCTGCCCCTAAAAGCAGAATGGGACAACTTGCCACATCCATCTAGCTATGGCCATCTCACCATGGCTAACTTGCTGCAGTCAACTCACCATGGCCAACTCACCATGGGACAACTTGCCATGGCCAATTTGTGGTAGGACAACTTGCTATGGGACAATTTAACAATTCTATTTAATTATTTAAAATAAATAAAAAATATTTTAATTTTTGTCATTCACATTTCGTTCTGTCCTCCCTTTGCATCCTTTCTTTAATAATTCTATTCCACCATTTCTTTGATATTAGTATAACTCTTGTTCTGCAGCAAGTTGTCCCACAGTGTGTTGGTTGTGGTAAGTTAGCTGTGGTGAGTTGGCTGTGACAAGTTGTCATAGACCCCCACCCCAAAAGGCCATACTCTTGCTTACCAAGGCAAATACTCTCTAAGCCAATCTCTGATGCTTTCCCCATTGGGTAAAACTGCTTGTAGCCTTTTCCACGAGCTGCCATTCTTATTTGTGTCACCCTACAGGGACAGGCTGAGGAGGTATGTGCGCTAAGCATTTGCTGAAGAAATGAGTTGTGGCTGCTTTTTAATGCATTTTCTTTTTTCATTACGAAAAGACACTTTGCCTTGGGAAGCATTTTGCAGGAGTTGACTCTGTACCTGAGCATGGCCTTTTAGGAACCCATTGGATGGGGAGAAAAAGCTACTCTGAAGGCATCACAACACATTTAATGATGATATGTTATGAACTGCATTTTAAGAAATATACTAAGATGCCTTTTAATTTCCCACCAATCCTGTGAATTTATTTTATTTGGAAAGAAATGACGACTATTATGAGTGAAGAGTGAATCTTTCAACATGGTGCTAGAGGAAGAAGAAAGGAGAGGCATATATTTTTGAGAGCCATGATACCAGAAGTTTCAATAGGGCTGGAATTTCTAAGGTGATTTGAGTTCACTTTGTGCATGAAATAGCTGCCCTTTCATATGCTGGAAAGACTGATCAATATTACTTTATGGCGTCAAGTTTAATGATCTGTTCAAAAATGGGCTAAGTGATTCTTTATGATGCCTTTCTGCCTCCCACCCCTTTTGTTTCTTTTTATGTCTATTAACGACTGCCATAACCATAACTTTTTCTCATCTTATATTACTAGGCAATTTGTTCTTAAATTCAGTGACAGTTTCTGAAGGCTTGAAAGATAGCAAAAGTGATGGGGTTTCTTTTCTCCCCATATGTGTTTACTCTGTCTTAAATTTTCCCAAGATCAGCTTTTAATTTCTCTTTCAATAAAACAGTAAATATTCTTCACTAGCCTTGAAAACTATATTTCCCCCCCAAACCTGGAATATTTAAACCACCATCACATGCAGTGGGGAAAAAGCAGATTTGTCTCTATTAAGAAATTTCTTTTAAAAATAGCCAATGTTTTAAAGTTAACCTTCATATTCTTTTTTTTTTGTAAAACGGAAGTGTTAATTCTTTTCAGTGCAGTTCAGTCGTCCAATCTTAGGTATATGGTTATCTATAGTAATTCAGATATAGGTTCTATTTATACAAATAGACAGTTGGTTTTATTTTCATGAGATGTTTCCTCCATTAGCCATTATTTTGTATTTGTGTTCAGTTACTGGATCTTGAATATTATTTGCCCACTGTTTCTGCAAAGGCTTCAGGTCTAAGAAACATTTCAGCAAAAAAAAAAAAAAATGACCAAGTAAATAGGGATACAGTTAACTAAATGACAAAGTTACAGGAACATATTTTTAAGATGTCCAACACTGTGTCATAATGGTTATATTCCAGGTATTAATGATAAGTGGATCATTACTTAGCCTATACTGCTGAATTTCTCTAATAGCACTTTGAAAGTGATATTCACCAAGTACCTAACCTCCCAGTCTCCTCATACCTTAAGGTCATCAGAATGAAATCTCATCCATTGAGAATTAGGAAAAGAATGTAACAAGTAGCCAAGATCAAATTCAAGTTCAGAAAAGTAATGTATGATGTATCTACTGGTCTTATTGGTAGTAACAATGAGTACACATTGGCCTTTCTCATAGCATGGTAGTATCTAGAGAGGTATTTGATTGGAGGCTTCATGAAAAATTTAAATGTCTATCACTACTAATTAAATATGTGGCCAGGAATGTACAACAACTTGATCCCACTTGGGTGATCAAGTGGAGCAGATGCCCAACAATAATGCCTGATTTAAATAGAAGATCATCAGTATAGGTAACTGCTTCTTAATTATACTGTCACAAATTTTACTTTAGCTACTAGATTGAGCTAGAAAGATTAAAATAATCTTTAGAACAGAATGCCACTCTTTTAACTTCTTAATTACAAAATTTCAGGCATACCAGGTCTCCTTGATAAGCTTCTTGGCTTGATACTCAAGTCTAGAAGTGCTATTCCACTTTCCAGCTCTACAATCCATTGCAATTGGAAATACATTTTTAAATGAACAAAATTATTCCAATAGTTTAAGGTTCTTTCACAAAAGAGTCTCATGCCAAAATAAAAGAAGAGTGTCAGTCTTGAGTGGTGACACCTTGCAGTCTGAAGAGCTATTAGCTGTTACAGACACTCAGAAGGTGGTCAAAGTTGTTTCTTTTCTTCCTTTTATTTAATGACTCTAATCTTTAAACTAACTCTTAAAGTATTGCAATAATTTTATATGTTTTATATCACAATTTAAGGGGAAAATTCAGTGTATTCTGCTGCATGTTTTATTTAAAAACCTTTTGTTCCTAAAAATAACAATTAATAATAATAATACAGCCTCTGCTTAGTTTATGTTAGTAAAATAAATAAACATATTATTTTGCAAGGTATAATTAAGCCATTAAAATATAAATATAAAATTTGGAAACTTAATAAAATTTATTTTAAAAATAAAATAAAAATATAAATTTAAGGTGAGCCAGAGTGATGACGATCAACATAAAGTGGTCTAAAGTTGTCAGTGCTAGTCCTGATACATTGCAGAGGTGAGGCTATTCCAATCCATAGAATAAATGCCACTGCAAAGAATTCTTATTAGATGACATTTCTACAAGCCATACATGAACAACAGCAAAATAGTGGAGATTAATGTCACAAAGATGCCTTTTCAAAAGGAAACTAGGCTTTGTTTTTCTTTGAAGACATTTCTTCAAGGAGAGGATAACACAGTCCTTTTAGCACTTCCAAGAAGGCTCCACCTCTATTTGTACTATTCAGGTGACTCTGAAGGCATAGATAAACCTCCAAGTGGCTTCAATGACTCTCAGAAAGAGTGGTAATGACCAGATGACTCTAAGGAATATAAATCCTTCCATTCTCTACCATTCAACCAGAACTGAAGAAATTTCTTGGATGAGAAGCAAAATGTCTTCAAGGAAAAACAAAGCCAAGTTGCCTTTTGAAAAAGCACTTTTGGGACAATCATGACTTGGATGACTGAGAATTTCCATAGATTGGAGAGTAGTATAACAGAGGACATTCTTTAAGTTAATCTAGTCCTGAGCAGACAGGCAAATTTTTCAGCACAAATATAATAGCTGTACCATCAACCCTATAGCTGCTGCATATGAACTAGTTATACTCTTTGAAACAGACCCAATGTCAGTTTCTCATAAACTCCATTTTTGATTTTGCCAATGTATGAATGAATAAATGACAGGAGCTCTGCAACAGAAAAAAAGACTGCAATGAGGACTCAGGAAGAAAGAGAGAGAAAACCATGATCAGTAACACATAAAAATAAGTCTCTTAACTGTTGAGGTACTTCTTCAATCAGGACTCATTCTGATTTTCTAGTAGTTTTAATCTCAGTCTTTTTCTATTATTCAAGTGAGTGAATATTCATCTCACCTCATACTCCTCTTTAAATCCATAGCCCTGTCCCCGTTTCATCTGAGTGATGTGCTGCAACAAGTCGGCCACTCGGATTGCTGGCTGGAACTGTCCCCTGGGATAGGACATTTCCACTGGGTCGCAGCTTCGATAGGGATGGGTCTGGATTGTCAGGGTCGGTTGAGTCATCTCCCCATGGCTATTGTCTGTTTTAAAGATAGGGAGGCAAAACAAACTTTTACCTAGCTGTTATTTGTGCATTTGTTTTCTTTCTGACAGGAATTAATTTCTCCCCATAGGTGAAATAAAGGACTGTAGAGAAACCATCTATGCCCAAATGCCACCAAGTAACGCTGAAGCAAACAACAACAACAACAACAACAACAACAACAACAATACACACACACACAGAAGCAACAAAGTCATGAAATGGTTCTGTCAACAGCAGGAAGAATATCACTTTTTGATGCACTTTACATCAGAAGTGGATTTTTTTTCATGCGATCTAGTCACATTATATAGTCACCCACCCTGTTCTGTTCTACCTGCTGCTTTCTGAGTTGAAGGGGAGGAATATAACACAGGGAGGCGATATTGACTTTCCCCAGTTATTTTTCCCATCTTTATTTATTTTTTGCCAGCAGAAGCAAGTAGGGTGCCAGTGCTATTTTACAGTCTGTAGGGAAACTTGATAGATTGTCAGTTTATGCTTTGTCTAACTGAAGATACACCTCAGCAAAAAAAGACACAGATTTACATACATTGTTTTCACTACTATGATGATGAAAATAATAAGGCAATATCTCATAAGAGTGGAGACTGTGATTTGCTGCTCATTCCATTTGCTAGTATTAACTCTTGTATCAACTTTAGGGACCTGTTCTCCTTCTGTTAGTTCTTAATTCTGGAATTACTTAAAGGATCTTTTCCAACTTGGAGGCCTAGAGGCCTGGCAATATTTATTTTTCTACTTTGCTGCTTCTTCAAGGGCATTCTCAAGTTAAGTAAATATGTTTAGTTCATTTACACATTATCATGGAAGGAAATCACATGAGTAGCAGTGAATGGGAATTGTGGTAATCAATACAGAATAGGGCTTGGCAATGGGAACAATAAATTTCATGCCAGGATATTTTTATCCTGACTCAAGTGTGAGCAGCACTTGGGGAAAGAGAGGGACTGCAATGTAGAATGTGACTATTTTAAGGATCAATATTAAGGCAGGGTTAATTATTAAGTATTTCAATTATATAACTAATATATGCAAAATCTCTTTTTCTATTTTCTCAGATCAACTAACTGAATGGAGATGCTAGGGAATCCAACATCAGCTATTTTTTTAATGTGCATATGGATTGAAATCTCTTTTTTTTTCCTTAAATTGAATCCGTTTAGATGAGGTCTCACTGGTCCTTTACACATTATAAAAAATAGAGTAACACTTGTGAATTTTTATGCTTTAGAGCAATAAAAGAAGATGAAACTGTTTTTAGGGAGAGGAGCAGGAGTTCTTCACTGAAAATCTCTAGGCAATCTTATGTTGGATGTATATTTATGTATATATGCATATGTATGTATTTGTGTATATGTGTTATTCTTAAAGCTGTACAATACAATTTTAATCTACATTCTAACATTTCTAGCCATAATTTTATGTCCTGAATTAGTAAAGGATGATAGGATGGAAAGAATTTAAAAAATAAAAATAAAGAAAAGACAGTAAGACCTGAGAGTTAAACTATATGTATTATGGAATAAATAGGTAGAACAATGTTGATATTTTCTCTCTTTCTCTTTTATTGTTCTATAGCTGTCATGGAAGGGAAAGATAGGTCAATTGCTACATGCTCCTGAATATATTTTTCTCATTATTGTCTAAAATTAAAGGATAATTAAAGGACAGAAAACATCCTCTGAAAAGAAAGTTATAGCCCAAATATAAAAGGTGTGTCACTGCACTTTTCAGAATTTAATCAGCAATGCAAATGTGTGTGTGTGTGTGTGTGTGTGTGTGTGTGTGTGTGTGTGTGGTATTCAGCTTTGTTCGGGTATTTTCCCACATCATTATAGTTGTGCTTTTAAAGTTGTAGCAATGTTTTGGCAGAATCTCATCTGCCATCATCAGGCTTCTGTATTGTGTTCATCTGTGAGTCAGACTTTCACAGCCATTTCTGTTTTAAATTTGGCACAGCAGTAGGCTAGCACACACACACACATATTCACTTGTGTACATCCATTGCTATGGCTAAAGACTGAACACAGGAGTAGGAAACTAAGCACTTATTTATTCAATTAACAAGTCTAACATCATTGCTAATGATAATGACTCTGAACAGAGGGGATTTTCAAGGGTTATTAGTTTTCCAGGCTAGATTTACTTTCTCAATTCATCTTTCTTTATCCTATTTTCCATTAACTCCCTTTAATAGAGAAGGAGATATCTTTATAAGTATACCATACCCACTGGACTTACTATCCTTAATTTTCTACTGTTGCACTGAATTCCACCTGTTTTACAACTGGCATCTCCATAGTCTGTACATTTTTATGAATTTTGCTTAAAAACATTGCAAGCTACCATTACAAGAGGGAACTATCAAAAATAATATATAGACTTACTAAAGCATATTCAAAGCCACTGGATACATCATTATTCAAAATTATTCAATTTAGCATGTTCAAGTGGAATTATTATTTCCTATGCCTAGATTAAATGTTCTTTTGGTCTCTGGCAATTTTTTTCAGTTTTATAGGTGCTAGCTGGTACATTCTGGGAATTGAAGTTTACACATTTTAAAGTTACCAAGTTTGGAAAATACTGCTATTTATCATTGGCCAACCAGCTACTCCTGCAGCAGTATTTTATTATTTAAAGAAAGAAAAAAGAAATAGATGATGACAATCTGAATTAGCTATTAAAAATATATTATAAATATCTATAAGAATACAAATATAAGACACCTTATATTCAATATAAATGACAATACACAGGCATATGGATCTTACAGTGAAGTACTGTTTCTGCTTAAACTGTATTAACAAACATTAAAAAAATCATCTTCCAAATTTTTGCTGTTTTAACTTGTGCTACTAAAAGTGATGATGGAATGTTCTAAATAAGTACTATTTCCAAGTAACACAAACAACTTTGTCCAAGCTACATTCAAACATTTTAAAATGTAATAAAAATTCTTTCCCAAGGAATAGAAGAGAATATGTCTGGATCCTTTGCAGAGAAAATCTGAATGCGGATCTTTCAGTCTCAGCCAAATTTTTCACACCAGTTCTAAATAATCACTTTCTGGTATTATAAGCAAAGCTGAGTCTCTGTTTTGTAAAGTAAACAGCAACAAAACATAGTAAACCATATGCTTTTTGCTCACAGATAATCTCTGAATTCAAGCAAGACACCTTTGCCCTCGGAAGTTGTGGGAGTGCCATCACTTGAGCCTTTCAAGAAGAGATTGGACTGCCATTTGTCAGAAACGGTGTAGGGTCTCCAGCTTGGGCAAGGGGTTAGAGTAGATGACCTACAAGGTCCCTTCCAACTCTGATTATCTGTTATCTGTTAAGACATGTACTCAAGTTTTCTGTAAGTAACACTAGATATGTATCTACTATTTCTAAGATGTCTAAGTTCATGAGATATTCTGAAAATCATTTTTGCCATCTCTTGGGATATATTGTTTGCAAATTAACAATAATAAGTTACTGTTTCTAATCAATTAGAAGATTAGAAAATGAGTTTAAATTTCTTCAATTTTTCTCTGCCATTTCACTTCTATATAAACAAAGGAAAATATATATTAAAATTATTTACAGTCACTTATATTTGCTATATACTGTAGATGTTTTTTTTTTAAAAAAAAGTTAGTTGAAAGTTTAACAGACTCCATCTACTAGTGTAACAGAAAGTAAACTACTGTTAACAGAAAGTTTTCATGTTTACCAGTCACTGGGTTTCTACTTCATACTGAATGCTGCTTTTAAAACATACTACAATTATATATAACATGTCAGTATGTTGGTGAATATTATAAGTAAAACACCCATGCCTTTCTATTTACAATGGTGCTGAATACCTAGATGCTTATTATTATGGTATGTCACACAGTCAGCCAGATGTTTAGATTGGATTTGGCTTTTCATCCATTTTATAACTTTTCCTAAGAACCTGGGACACATAGATGTTATTATTTGATGATGTCAAAAGAATTGTCACAGGATGTAAGCAGTTCCAAGTAAAACTGCCTTGTGCAATTGACTGATGGTGATTTTGTCAATGCTGATAGTGTTTATGTGGTTCTCCATTTGTTTTGGACTAAGGCACCTATTACTATTGGTACTATATTGCTTTCTGTTGCCACACAACTTTCTGTTTTATGATTTCCTCTGGTTCCTCTTCATCTATTTTGCTGTCTCTAAATATTATTATTAATAATAATTAAGCAGATAGCTACTCAACTCATACACCGTGACTCTGGGCAGTATATGAACATAACAAACATTGGTTTTCCAATAACAACCTATTATCTGATCTTCTGTAAATCACAGACTCTAACAGTTTTACAGTTTTAAAAAAGAACCCAAATTCTTAACTTTTCTCAAGATAATATAAATCTGGTGAGATTAGAAGGGTGTGCACAGTGCAGAAGCATGACAACAGTAAGATTAAGGTCTGTTCAGAAAATCCAAGTTCTGCCATTAAAAAAAAGTGTGTGTTGAATATAACAAGCAAGTTATATTTTGGAACTCTTCATTAATTGTTACAGCTCATACAGATTTTAATATGATAAGCCTATCATATCCATTTATATTTTTATTCTGTTAGTCTTGGCAAGTGTGTAACATGAGAAGACATCCTTTCCACAAAATAAATTATTTTTGAAGTGATGTTTACAATGGATTTAATTATACACACATCCAAACTCACTCTTCTGAAATAAAAAGGTTGTCATTTATTTGACATTTCTTAAGCAAAGTTCCAGAATATCTCATATTACTTTTTGTGTTATCCTAGTGGTAAAGAAAATGCTTATAAAATTGGCTTCCCAAATGTCTTTCTTTTCATTTAGCTATTAGGTGACAAATTGTTTACTTCATGGTAGACAATTTGTCATACTTCCTGATTATGGTAATATGCTAATATAAAATAATTCCTCCTTTGCGAAGTGGACAGGAATGGTCAGCTATCATACTACTGATTTAATGCAAGGTTTTATTTGTTTCTTTTACCAAAAATATTGCTAGCTAATTAATTAATTAAGAGATCAAATTAGTGGGAACTTGCTTTCTGAGACTATTGATGAATAAAGGGAACAATCTAATATTAAAGAAGCATATAAATAAAACAAAACAGAACTTCAGCTGGGAAGGAGGCTCATTCAATTTCATTGTATACACGATGTACATTGACAATGAAGGTTTGAACTTTGAACTTCATTTTTTGCTTAATCCCCTATGAACAATTTGTTTCTGAGAAAACACCATCCTTCTGTTTAGGTTTTCTGGCTTACAATCTACTATTGGTTATTTGTTCACCTTTAACCTGAAGATATAGTTTACTTGTCACCCCTTTTTTAAAATGCCTCTGGCATCTGGACCTGGACACAACTGTCAAAATCAATGAGAAAGTAACATGATTCCATGATATAATTTCATGTTGCCAAAATCTGAATTTTGTAACATCCTTCACAAAATTCAGAAATTCAAAATTCATTTGACTTCCTGCTATATCTTTATTTTCTGGTTTTATCATTTAGTTTGTTAGTTTCTGAGCTGTGTTTAGGTATTTCCCAGGTAGAATGTTCTTTTTATTTAAAATAAGCAATTTATTTTATCATCCTTCATGACTTTCCTTCTAGACCTTATATCAAATGGACTATGGATTAGTTAATATCCTATAAATGAACTTTTGCATGATATTCTAATTTTTCAAGTTTAACCTGTACGTATAGATAGATATTATATACAATATGTTATATATGATAGTAATTATATCAGGGGTGGGATTCAAATTTCTTAAGAACTGGTTCTGTGGGTGTGGCCTAATTTGTGGGTGTGGCTTGGTGGTTATGTGACTCGGTGGGCGTGGCTTGCTGGCTGGTGTGGCTTGGTGGTCACGTGACTGGGTGAGTCAAAAGATAAAAACTCACTTGAACAATACTGTTGGAGTGGGGTTGGATTAGATGACCTCTGAGGTCCCTTCCAGCCCTGGATTGCTGTTCTGTTTCAAAACATTCTCTGAAGCTGCATCTAGTGACAGGGTTTGTGGTCCTTCCTTCCTCTCCTTTTTCTTTCCCTCCCTCTCTCCCTCTATCCATCCGTCCATCCATCCATCCATATCTCATTCACATTCCTTTCCCTTCCCTCCCTTTCTTTCTTTCTCCCATCCCTCCCTCTTTCTTTTTCTTCTTCCTTTTAAGAGGAAGGAAGGAAGGAAGAAATAAAGGAAAAGAAAGGGAGAGAGAGAGAGAGAAAGGAAGGAAGAAGGAAGGAAGGAAGGAAGGAAGGAAGGAAGGAGAGTTACCATGCATCTCTATGCTATTCATGGTATATTTACTTTCTACTTAAACCAGGGTCCCTAAACTTGGTAGGTTTAAGACTTGTGGCTGGAGTATTCTGGGAGATGAAGTCCACAAGTCTTATAGTTGCCAAGTTTGAAGACCTCTGACTTAAATCTTAGTACAACACCCAGATATTTAAAGCCATTAAACATCTTGGATTAATCTTGAAACTTGTTGCATGCTTGTACTTAAACAGAAAGAATTTTGTTTTAACACATATGGCTTCAATTCCAAAGCTACTTTTTATGAAGACCAAGTGAAGAAAAGGAGATTGGAAACAAAGCAAAGGTTAACCTCATTCTCTCTAACCCTTTCTAAATGGCAAGTAGAAGTGAGCCATTTTATTACAAAGAATTTACCACTATCTTCAAATTAAAGAGTTGCCTTCCAACAACAAAAAGCACAAGTTTGCAAACTGCCTGAATAGCAACACACCACGTGTATATTAAATATCGAACCACATAGTGGAACAGAGAAAATATTTGTGAGAAATATTTACTGTGTTTTTGCTTGTCAAATTTAAAAGGCCGTTGGACTCCATAAAGGTTGTGACAGCAATAGAAGTAATGATGTAACCATGAAGCAGCAGCTAGGCAAACTGCTGAATAGTGTGAATTATGCTTTGGAAATTGTGTAATGTATGGTCTGAAATTGAGCAAAGTGAATAAGACCTAAATGTAAACTGTTCTCTACAAAATCCATTCTGAATTTACCACACTAAGCCTGGCATGAAAAAGCAGAGCAATTTACTAATTTTGAAGAGCAGAACATGGAATAAAGAAAGAAGATTGGCTCCAGCAGTTTTAGGAGACTGCATAGTTTTGTTTACCTAGAACATTACCAAGGCAGTAATCAATTCTGTATTAGCTCCAAATGTTATTTTGGCAAAACATTGAATCCAGGCATACTGGATAACTGCATGCTCCCAGGAGGCTGCAGGGAGGCCTCCTAAGCCCCAAAATGGGGCCTAGCCAGCCTCCCTGGAGCCTCCTAGGAGGGCATGATATTTTCAGCCTAGCAAGCCTCCTAGGAACAAAACTGGGGGTGGCACTGGACACCCCCCCCCATGTGCCATTTTTGCTCCCAGCAGGCTCCCCTACACTTACCTGGGAGCCAGATGGGCCTTGTGGGGACTCCTGGGAGGTGAGGGGAGGGGTGGGCAGGGCCAGCTGTTCTTCAGAACTACTGGTTCACTGAACTGGATGTAAAATTAACATCCGGTTCATGTGAACTGGCTCGAACTGGTAGAATCCCACTTCTGAATTATATATCTTATATGATATATAAAAATCCTGTGGTTGCTATTGGATACCTATAACAGAATGTTTTCAAAAAAGAATTATAGTTAAAGAATTATATAATATTATTATGTTATAATATGTATAATATATATGAATTTATATATATAGCACCAGTTACATAAGACAGGGATCCACCAACAATTCTACCAGCCTGGATAAGCAGGAAGATCTTCAGTGAGAACTTAAACATTTTAAGTCAAAGTTACCCACTTTCACTCTGTGTTTTTTTGCAGGAAAATTTGGCGGCTATCTTGATTCTGTTGTACAGCTCTACTTCAAAAGAGATGCAAGAAAAAAAGTTTAGAATGTATTTCAGTGGGTTCCTTGAAACTACTATGTTTGCTGGCACTTTACAGGCAGTTACCTGACACTTTACAGGCACTTCCCTACAATTTTCATTTTTCAAAATCAACAAATAAAAGAGCTACAGTTATTGGAATGCTTGCCAATTATGTCCAACTGTAGCATATTTTATCAAATTCAAAATTAAACCTTGCATCATTCTGAATTGAATCCTGCAATTGAATCTATTCCGCATGTATGCATTATTAAGCATGCTCATGTGGTGCCTGAGAAGGGATAAAATGTGTTTGTCTTTATGGTGTCTCCCAATTCAGCTTAGGTCCACTTTTCAAGTCCCACTTCAAGATTCAAATCCATATAAATCAGGAATATTATAGCAAAGAGCATAGAATTACTCAATTATCCCGAGGCTGTGGAATAGTCTTTCCTTTGAGGTCTATAATAAATTAGAAGAGCTACAAAATATGACTTTTTTCCTCGAATTGGTCCTCTTTCAGATTTTTTTTTTTTTTTGCATATCTTTGCCACTGAGTATAATCAAAATATATGTGAGTCCTGTGGGTTTATAGAAGGGACCCTGATTATGCAGAAAGTATAACAATGAAACTCTGATAATATTTAGCAGGGAAGTTATTCAAAATAAATTCCTTCTCAGTCCAAAAAGAAGTCTTGTGCTAATTAATATGTACTGTAAATATTGCTTTAATAAATGTATTGTTGGAAACAAGTCCCCCCTGACATATCAATAATGAAAATTTGATTTTAGAAAGTCTCCTGACTACCTATGGCTTTGAGGTCCTCTTCTACCCCTAGCAATATGAAAAACCACTGTCCAACAGCAACATCTTATGCACTCATCTCTCATGATAGATCATTTTTGCCCTGATTGTCCTACTTATACAGGTGCCAGAAAGCAGTGCTAAATTTATAATGCTTTCTGACAGCATGGCTTTCAATGTTCAATCAAAAATCCACATTCCTCCATTTTAACATAATGTCTTTCCATGGATTAAAATAGATTGTTTCCATTCAAAGAAAAACTGTCTTCTTCCCAACTGGATATATCTTAACAAGCAACCTGAGGTTCCTGAGGAATGTTCATAGCTTAACTTGATATTCTAACATTCTGTCAGTCATCTTTTTCTTTTACTATTCTCTCAGCTGTGAATATGGTGTATCCACAATGTCCTATGGCTTACTTCTGTCACACTTTCTTTAGTCCTGCATGACAGCTCATCAGTAGGGTGTCAGCAGAGAAATGCCTACATGCTGAATATGTCATTAGTGCATCATTGCTCAAAGGAAGCCAGACTACATGAACCTGTTTTGTAAGAAGCCTGCAGAATATCTTCTAAATTAGACACAATAGAAATTTAAAGATTTTTTTCCCTCTCTGCAGTTCTCTTTATGGATCTAATACTAGTATCTATTTGTTCTATAAGGTATCTGATAAATCACAGTCCCTTCATGGAATACAATGTAACAAACTTTAATTCAATATATTCCAGATACTTATATGATTTTTCTTGCCTAAAGATATGTTAGCTATACTTGTAGATAAAGTAGCTGTTTGTACACTTCCCTCTTATTTCTCAGTAATTCTGCTGTGCTTTTAACCTGATGATTCCTCATCTAGATGTGCAGTGATTATTTTTTTTTGAAAAAAAATTCAGAATGGATGAAAATGTTGCTTTGAAAATACTGAGTTCTATGAATTGTAATTTAAAGCTTGAATTTCTCTTCATTGTCATCAAGAGGAAAATGAAATGGTCTTAAGCCTTTTTCTTCTCAGTACAACAGTAGGAGAAAAAAAAACAGGGAAGGTTATATCTACCTATGTAAAGCTATCTCCCTCTGATGTTCTGTTTTAATATATTTTTATTAAAAATTTAATTATAATAGTAAAAATTAATGCAAACTAAACAGAAAGAGAAGTGAATGGAAAGAAGAAAAAGTGCAGAAAAAAGAAAAAGAAAGAAAAAGAAAAGAAATACAGTATATAAAAAAGTGATTTTCTACCATCATCACAACAAGCACACATAAATTTTATAATTCTTCATACTATAAGCTTAAACAGGTATTTCTTCATCCTATATCCCATCCATTATTTATAAACAAATCCATAAATCATCCATAAAACTGTTGAATTCTGGTGACAGCAAAAAGTTCCTAATATTCTGAGGTTCTCGCGGGTATTTGTATGTGGATCTTTGGTTGTTCGGGTTTTCTCCCGCGTAAGATT